AGATACGTTCCATCAATACCTAGCTTATTGAGGGTTTTTAGCATAAAGGGCTGTTGAATTTTGTCAAAGGCCTTCTCTGCATCAATTGAGATAATCATGTGGTTTTTGTCTTTGGTTCTGTTCATGTGGTGAATTACGTTTACAGATTTGCGTATGTTGAACCAGCCTTGCATCCCCGGGATGAAGCCCACTTGATCATGGTGGATAAGCTTTTTGAGATTCCCTCTTTTTGGATTGTTTGGAATAGTTTCAGAAGGAGTGGGACCAGCTCCTATTTGTATGTCTCATAGAATTCGGTTGTGAACCCTTCTGGATTGAACTTTTTTGGTTGGTAGGCTATTAATTGCTGCCTCACCTTCAGCCCTGGTTATTTGTCTATTCAGGGTTTCAGCTTCTTCCTGGTTTAGGCTTGGGAGGATGCAAGTGTTCAGGAATTTATCCATTTCTTCCATGTTTACTTGTGTATGTGCATACAGTTGTTTGTAGTAATCACTGATGGTAGTTTGTATTTCTGTGGAATCGGTGGTGATATCCCCTTTATTTTTTTATTGCATCTATTTAATTCTTCTCTCTTTTCTTTTTTATTAATCTGGCTAGTGGTCTGTCTATTTTGTTCTTCTTTTCAAGGTTTCAGTTTAATCACTTTCTCCATATATCTTTTCTAATCATCCCCTAGACTAAGTTAGGAGTTCCTCCCTTATGCTTCAACAGGATTTGGTGTGCATTTTTTTCCCTATCATAGATGGTGTCTATGAATCACACCTTATTGTATGAGTTGAGTTACTTAGTTGTCTGTCCCCTTGAGTTGCTACAAAGTCCCTGACAATGCAGCTAGATTCACCTTGCTCACCTTACCCAGTGCCTGACACACAGGCAGTGTTCAATAACTACTTTGAAATGTTTTAATGAGTAAATCAGTATAAAATCTTCACATATTTTTCCATTTTATTAACATTCTTGAAATATGAATTGACACTCAATAGAGAAAAATTTCTTCTGAAATGCACCAAAAGAAGTGTATGTAATACACTATCGTATATAACATAAAAGTAGGGAGGTGGCTACTACCTAAATGAGAGTTTGAAATGTTTCAAAAGCAAATTATTCAGGTGAAATTTTTATGGTCTATGGCAAAGTTTGATAGGGGAAGATGATAAGTCAACATTCAAGAAGGAAAACTACCGTGACTATATGTAAGAGAAACACATTTAAACTTCAGGTAGCACCTTTTATCAAAATCTGTGTTAGGTTAATTAAAGTAAAAGCTTCTTACCTCGTCAGAGTGATCTGGAAGGAAATGTAGCCAGCAATGAACGAAGCCAACCTCGTCAGGCTCTGCTTTCCTGATCCGCCCACCCCGACCAAGAGGGCATTTCCCCGAGGAGTACGAATGACTCGAGAGATCTGTAATACGGAACAGAAAAAGCATGTATCGTTCAACATGCAAATGCTCTATTTTCCCATTTATTTAATATGTGAATAAGGCCAAATTATTATTTTGGAAGATATAGGTGTCTCAAGATCACACTGGAGATACATTGGTTGAAGGAAAGAGGGCATTTCTGAAATAGAATAGTGTTGGGCTGCATCAGATGGGTTGGCAACCATGGAATGCACCTTTACAAACTAGGAGGACACCAGGGCAGAAAAGTCAGCACAGAGCTCAGAGTGGGCTTGCTCTGGCTTTAAAAGGACATGTCTATCTAAAGGGGACTTTGAGGATTCCTGTTAGCTGATCCAACCTAACAGAGCATGATAGGAAGGAGAACAGAAATGTTAGAACAATGTCTACCTTTGGCAGATAGGGCATGTGGTTGATTAGAATATCTTCCATATTTGAAACTGTTCAAATTTAAACTTAAGGGAAGAAAAACCCCAAAATCTGCTGATATGGTTTGGAAGTGTCCCAACCCAAATCTTATCTTGAATCATACTCCTGTAATTCCCACGTGTTGTGGTGAGGACCCTGTGGGAGATAATTAAATCATGGGGGCAGCTTTCCCCAGGGTATTCTTATTTATGGTGGTGAATAAGTCTCACGAAATTTGCTGTTTTTATCATGGGTTTCCACTTTTGCATCTTCCTCATTTTTTATTTTGCCACCACCATGTAAGAAGTGCCTTTCCACCTCCCACCATGATTCTCAGGCCTTCCCAGCCATGTGGAACTATAAGTCCAATTAAACCTCATTTTCTCATGTGTTCATCAGCAGCATGAAAATGGATGTTGGAATTTTAAAAAGAAAGAAAATGAGCATAAACACCCTCCTGTTACTTGGTAAAGACAGTGATACCTAAGGTATCTACCAATAATTGATGCCAGACTATTCCATAGCCACCTTGTGGCAGAAGCCCATGTTTATTTGGATTTATTGGTGTTGAATGAACTAGTTACACCATCAGTCTTTCAGACCTGCCTAGGAGAGATTGAGCATAGAATTCCCCTTGATGTTCTTTATACTTTCTGCAAGAACTATTTCTCTTTCCCTATTAACTGCAGTTTGAGTCTAGGGGTATTAATGTGATGTTTCCTTTTCTAGAAAAATGATAGAGTGCAGGCAGGGACTGGAAGAGGTCACTTCTCCGTGGTCAGGGATGCTTCCAGGAGTCACTGGAGCTCTACATTCTGCCAGGATTTTGTTAAACAGTCTTTCTCAGAATTTCCTCACTAGCTGCAGTATATTCTATTCATGTTTAAAACATCCCTGGTTTTGAATTACTTTCCCCAGTTTAGCGGGAACCTTGGGAAAAGGAGAGCATGTTTTCCATCTCTATGTGGACCTGAGAACCAGCAGGACAGGTAGGTGCATACTCCCTGTTTCTCCAGCCTCTTGCATGTCCCTTCTATGTGATTCTCTCCAAAGTCATTGTGGGTGGACGGGGTCACACATGTCTCTTCAACCTTCTGCTGACACAACTTCAAGAGGCACAGACAGGGCAGATAAGGAGCAACCAAAAGCCACACTACAACATTCTGTGTCTTGCCTTGATGGCCACTTTTCAACCATCATCATTTTCTTTGTTTGATGTGGGTGGATATATCAAGATATTGTTAATTAGGTATTAAGGAATCTTCATCCCAAAACCTTTACTTGGAACTGAGCCAAGGTCTTATATTAAAATCTTCTATTCTCAGTTTCCAACACATGGTAAACCCTCAAAACATATATGACAAATGAACAGATACATGAACAGAGAAGGCTTGAAAGCAGACTCAAAACCTCATAATCTAGTTAAAAACAGAGATTAGAAGAGAAAATGTGATCCAGTGAGACCCTCAAATAGTGCTATCTTGTTTTGTTATAGACAGAATGTGAGATGGAGACATGCATTTTTAATTCCATTGGCAAGTACTTAAAAATTAATAATGCACACCCTGCCCTGCAGGAGCTCACACTGGAACAGGGGACAGAGGCCGGGGTCATGAGCCACAGTGAGCACTGGCAGAGAGACAGGAGTGATGGCAATCAGAGGAAGGAATGCTGGGGAAACTTCCCTGCCTGGGTGAGGTATGTCTTAGGCACAGACCTGGATTTTGGCCTGGATGACTAGAAGTTTATCTCACAAAGAAGGTGGCGTGCCAGACATGGGCTGAGCTACCTTTTAAGAAGGAATGGGGCACACAAAATCTCAGAATTAGAAAAAGACCTGAAGTGTCCCCTGGGGTAAGAACTTCAGTATGGGGCATGGAAATGTCAGGAAATAAGGCAGCAAAGGATTGTTTAGGGCTTATTTGGGGGACTTGCTTAAATTCCAGACCATGTACCCAGATTCTCTGTTGGTTCTCAGCAGTGGTTCGTTCTGTCAAGACTGAGGTCACTAAGACGGGAACCCACCCTCTTAGCATGGGTTCTGGTAGGGAGACAAACACACAGACAGATGAACTTTCCAGAAGGCAGTATGGGTGGAGAATGCGTGTGGGGGAGGCGCTCCGGGATCATGATGGGTTCACCCATAAGCAGCCCGTTGTTCTGGATCTCACGCTAGGCAGAGCATGACTCAGGAGGCTGGCTGGTAGGCAGGAACTAGATCATAAGAAACACATATGCTGTGGTTTGAACTTTCACCAAAGAGGCAGAAGAGTATCACACAGATACACTGTGTTGAAAGAATATTGAGTTTCTAAATAAGAAATAGGCTTGGTGTCATATCGCATGCTGTTTTGCTACAGCTTTTATGTGCAATTCTGTCTCTTGGCTTCTGTCCTGCCTGGTAACTAGGCCACGCCTCTCAAGGCTCACACAGCACGACACAGAGCGTGGATGCGCTGTGCACAGAACATGAGAGTACAAGACAGGGCTGGTCGGGAAGGGGAGAGCAATGCAGCGTTTTAGCCCAAAAACTCCAGTCACGGACTCTGGCTAATTCCAGAGCAGACAGACAAGGGGCTGAGGCTGAGAGAAAGCACCAGAGAGTCCCCAGCACCCAGGCATTCACACCTCCAACATCACACCCAAAGTGGAGAAAGCCTCCACTCATCGTCTGGACTGCGAACGAATCATGGAGAAAAAGGCAGTTCCAGTGAACTTGCTCAGGCACGACACTTAACATAAATAACCGCATCTTCAACTTGAGTTATGAAATCCCAGGTCAATCAGATTCCGTCTCCAGCAGGCAATTTGTCATGAAATTGCCTTTGGTATTACTCATTTAGAAAATACATTTTCCTTTTCTTTTTCTTCCTTTTAATTATTAAAAATGACAGAATGTTTATTCTCTCTGAACTCTTAACTACAAATTAAGAGCTAATTTCAAAATGTTATTTATAGTTGGCTTTGGAAGAATTTTTGAGCTCATAATTCGGTACAGATATCTCAGATTCTGAGAATCCATGGAGTTGCCAAGCTAAGTGCCCTCATTCTGGGGAGACGCAACTCCTGAACAGCCTCTCTGTCTCCCTCCCTCTCTCTGGCTTACTCCAGCCTTGCATAAATGCTTTTCTCACCTTCTTACAGGGAAAAGGAGCAGGCAAGCAATTCCTGTTCTCAGAGGAAGGGTTGACTAGATAACCTCTAAAACCCCCTCTATTTGTAGATTGTCATTTTTAGAGGTGACAGTTGTAATTGTGCAGTGGTTCCTCATGGTTGAACCTAAGTCATGGAAGACAATCTCAAAATTTCATTTTCTTTCTAACTAAAAGGATGTAGTCCAGAAAAGTAGTTTACATCAACAAAGTGAGAATATCAACAATGGATTTTAAATGGCATTATCTTGCGCCATAAATAAATTAAATCACATAAGCTTTCAAACAAAATAATATATTTTACTTCCAAACTTTCAGGATCAACTGTCCTAAAAATGGACACTGTCATGACTCCTATAAGCAGTCCCTAATCTTTTTGACACCAGGGACCAGTATTGTGGAAGACAATTTTTCCATGAATGGGAGGAGGATGGGGGTGGTTTTGGAATGATTAAAGCTGATTACATTTATTGCGTGCTTTATTTCTATTATTATTACATTGTAATATATTATGAAATAATTATACAGTTCACCATAATGTAGAATCTGTGGGTGCCCTGAGCTTGTTTTCCTGCAACTAGATGGTCCCATCTGGGAGCGATGGGAGACAGTGACACAACATCAGGCATTCCATTCTCATAAGAAGCACATAACCTACATCCCTCACGTGAGCTGTTCACAATGCAGTTCATGCTCCTATGAAAATCTAATGTCTCTGGAGGCAGAGCTCAGCTTCACTTGCTCACCTGCTGCACCTCCTACTAGGCAGCCCTGTTCCTAACAGGCCATGGACAGGTACTGGTCTGCAGCCCAGGGGTTGAGGACCCCTGACTCATATGACAAAGTAGAACAGAAATTATACTTTCCTAGAGGATTTCATTCTAACAGAATTTTCATCTCAAAGTCAACTGTTTATACACTATTTTAAAATTATTGTTTCTAATCATGGTAAAATACACATAACATAAAATTTACCACTGTAGCCATTTTTAAGTATACTGTTCAGTATCATTAAGTATCACATTGTTGTACAACTATCAGCACCACTGATCTCCGCAATGCTTTTCATCTTGCAAAACTGAAACTCTGCACTCATTTAATACACTCCCCAGTCCCCTCTCCCTGAAATTCTCCACTCTACTTTTGTCTCTGATTTTGGCTACACTGGGGATCTTAGTAGCATTATACACTATTAGCCCTTTTGTGTCTGGCTTACTTTGCATAACATAATGTCCTCAAGGCATATGTACTATTTTTTATAGGATATTCTTCACATGATACAAACAGATGCAGACTTTGCCTGTGCTCTGAACTCAGATGTCAACCATATTCATCCTCTGTGGTGAAAACACTGAGCTGGAAGCCGTATAGAAACACTGAATAAAATCATCACATCACACATTTAAAGTACATGGGCTCTTGCCTTCGGCTTAGAAATTAAATTGGAATATAGCATGGAGTCTATTTTTAAACTGAAGAGTCTCCTAGGAAATGAAATAAAAGGGGGAGAGGACTCTGGCGTGAAGCCAAATGTCTGTCACTTCCACAAGGCGCTACTCGGAGTGGCTACTGTACCTTGACTAAGTGAACCATGGCATCTGCAAAGAACACCATGTCCATGCCGGCGCCACGGATGCTCTCATTATAGAGCTGCAGGAACATATTGAGACGCTCTTTTAGGTGACTAAAAGATTCAATTGGCTCATAAATTTTAGGCATTTCAGCATCAGCCTCTTCAGATGTTTCACCTTTGGTAGGAAAGAAGAGTCAGTTAAGTTTCTTCAAATACCTGCATTTTACCTGCAACCTAAATTAATACACTCAAAGCTCTACAACCTAACACTGAATAACATTCATTTCAAGCAAAATGCCACAGTGTGCATTTTGCAAAAACAGAAGAAAGAAAACAATAGAAGCCTTACGATTTTTGTGATCATATGCAGTCTTTGTTCTTTCCCACCTAGCAAGAGTCAATGTCAAATAATGAAGTAGTCATTGAATTGAATTTGAATCCACAATTGAATGTTGGCATTTCAAAGGTCCTCCCAAATATATTAGTTTAATGATCAAGTAAAAGTAAAAACCATAGGGATTGAATGTCAGAATCAGCAAGGGAAGTCAAGAATTACATAATTTTTGATAAGAACAAAAAGGAAAAGGTTATTACATTTGCTCAGAAAATTTTTATGATTTATGAATCTCAGGTCAGTGGTAAACATAGAAGTGAATTAGGATATGAGGGTGGGGGGTTGAGAGAAACAGAAAAATAATTTCCTAAATGAATAAACATGTTAAATTATTTCACTAGGACAAGATGTATTAAAATCAATATATGTTTTTTAAAAATTAGAAGCACATAATATACGAGCTTAACACTTTTCCAGCATTAACTATAAAGTGGAGGCCGAGGTAGGCAGATCAGTTGAGGTCAGGAGTTCAAGACCAGCCTGACCAACATGGTGAAACCACATCTCTACTAAAAATACAAAAATTAGCTAGTTGTGGTGGTATGTGCCTATAGTCCCAGCCACTCGGGAGGCTGAGGCAGGAGAATCGCCAGGAGGTGGAGGTTGCTGGGAGCTGAGCCTGTACTCCAGCCTGGGCAGCAGAGCAAGACTCTGTTTCAAAAAAAAAAAAAAAATCATAATGCTCAAGAAAAAATTGGGCATCTATAAATTCACAGTCAATTAACATTAGTAACAGAGGGGAAAAGCATCACATTAGTTGAATATACCAATAACAACTTAGAATTTCACTTGGTACCAGAAGAATGAGTGGATCTTTCAAATCTTATGGTACTTAATTATTTTCAATTGACTGTGTCTAAATTTTTTATAACAAAGCAAGGAGATTGGTTTAACAGAATCATTAAGAATGACCTATCTGCAAAGCTCTCAGTAATCAAATTCCAATAGCCACAGCTCTCATAAATGCTCAAGTCAAGCTTTGAGAAATAAAGTGCTTCAATGACTCAAAAGCTTTTGTGTTTGTCTCTGGACCCTCCCCAGGCCCCCAAAATGCACCAGTTGTGCTCTGGTCCTTGAAAATCATAATCTGAGTATTTATCCTTCTGAATTATAGGGAATAAATTACATAAGTTTTAATTACCTTGTAAGATGCCCTTACTCGTACAGGATTTTTCTATGTGTTTGACATGATTAAAATAAAATGTGTCACCTTCTTCTTGTAAGAGCATCATTCTAATTGTATTGCCAGAAATAAACAGGCTTTTGCAATTGTTACTCAGAAACTTTTGATAGATCATACTTACGGTTATCAAACCTAGAGAGGTGCTGCCTAGTCACTTCCAATCATTTTGAAGATATACATCACGTTTTTAAACATGCTTTTTAAAATCTGCAAATTAACTTAAAATCCACCCTCAGTCTTAGAAGAGGTTATTAAATTTAAAAATATTTTAATTAAGCCTAGTTACTTTTGAGGGAAAAAAAAAAGGTAGAGCACTGCTTCTTTTCATAAGAACAGTCATGTATCTCAATTTCCCCTGGAACCATAATCGCAAATGCTTACTCCACATCAGCCATCTCATTCCAATTATATTTAATGACTCTCGCATATGATTGGAAGTTTTTTTTATTTTTAACATTCAGAGTGACCTGAATAATAATAATTATCATTATATTGCTGCCTTTCATTCACCAGTGACTACAGGCCATGCACTGTCCAACCATTCTACAGATAACATTTCATAGATCACCCAAGCCATTCTACAGACAACATTTTATGGACTCCCACGGTGAATGTGATGCATGTAGTAATATGTTATCTTTATAAATGAGGAGAATGAGGTTCAAGAGACCGAGATATCCAGCTAATTAATGTGCAGTGGATTCCTTCCTCAAACCCGCCTCTATCTGCCAGACTGAAAGTCTTATGCACTCTCTCCTACCCAATCCTGCCTCACCACTCTAACTTAATATCCAAGCATGATACACATAAAACAGTTCCTCTTTAAATTTCATGATCATGCACTTTTTTTCTCATCCTATTTTTATTGAGCATCTACTATGTCTCAGGCTTGTATCAATACAGTTTACTAGAAAGAAATTCAACATCCACAAACTGAATCTTCTATTTTCAGATTTCCCTTTAGGGAACACCTTTTGGGTAATTCCAAATTCCGCTTCCATAGTTTACCTGCAGCTTCAGGTGCATCTCTCAAGAAATCCACAAAATATGTGTCAATTCCACAATCCACCAGGAGTTTTTTCTCTTCACCAAACTCCTCCTCTACCAAACTTACTAAAGCCTTATCAAACCAGGTCACATCACTGGGCACCGTGAAACGGTCAGCTATAACACGTTTACATTCATGCTTCCACAGCTTTAACATATCCTGTTGAAAGCACAATTAAAATGTGTTAGTAATTCCTATTATGCCGTAACTGGAATTCAAGTTGACAGTACTATAGAGTATTATCCTTCCTGATTTAAGATGCAACACTTTAAAAAGTTAGGGTTCAAATATGTATGCTCAACTTCACTTCAAATTGGTCTCATTCAAGTTTATTAAATAGAAAGTAGTCTATTCATTTGCAGTCTCTGAAGAAAGAAGGAAAAGTCTTTCAAAAAAATATTAAAAGTTGCTCTGCCCAATCATTGAACTAATATTCTTTGTAAAGGTCTTCAGTTTGTGATAAATTAGTCTTTTTAATAAGACACCTACATTCATGTGCTCAGAGTATAAAATAAGACATAGAATATGAACAACTCTCATGTATACAACCGAAAAATTACAAAGGTGTATTCATTTAACACAAAGGGAAGAAAATTTGTGGCAAAACAGGATTATTTGAACAAAGAAACCACCTAATCCAGGTAATCCAAGGTCCAAAGTTAACTGAAAGTTGAGGAAGGTAATTGCTTAATACTCCTGTTCCTATAGCAAGAATAACAAATGTTTGTATAAGCTCATTATTTGATATGAAAGACTGATGGAAATTTCTTAGCTTGGTAACATTTCTCAGATTTTTAAGCTATTGCATTACTAATGATAGAATGTTATTTGGTTGCCTGAATATAAAAGTTTAGTGAAGTATAGTCAATGATTCAGTTAAGACAAAAGTTTATGATAACATCAATTGCTGGAATTGTTTATGCTGACTTACAATAAGCACCAAAAAAATAGCTATTTCAATAGTAATCTTTGAGAACTGGCTTCAACAATTCCATTAACTTGTAAATAATGTTGAGGGAAAAAAAATCATGTTAAAATATTCCTGCTGCTAAACTGACTCTCACTTCTCTGTAGGAAGGAAACCGAGTTTTCTCCAAAATATCATGAACAGACACTTCTCAAAAGAAGGCATACATGTGGCCAACAAACATATGAAAAGAAGTTCAACATCACTGATCATTAGAAAAATACACATCAAAACCACAATGAGATACAATCTCACACCAGTCAGAAAGGCTCTTATTAAAAAGTGAAAAATAACAGATGCTGGCAAGGTCGCAGAGAAAAAAGAACACATATATGCTATTGGTGGGAGTGTAAATTAGTTTGAGCATTGTGGAAAGCACTATGGTGATTCCTCAAAGAGCTAAAAGCAGAACTACCATTTGGCCCAGCAATCCCATTATAGGGTATATGCCCAGAGGAATATAAATCATTCTGCTATACAGATATATGCACGTAAATGTTCATTGCAGCACTATTCACAATCTCAAAGATAAAGAATCAACCTAAATGTTTATCAATGACAGATTGGATAAAGAAAATGTGGTACCTATACACCATGGAATACTTTGCAGCCTTAAAAAAGAATGAGATCATTGCTTTCATGGGAACATGAATAGAGCTAGAGGCTATTATCCTTAGCAAACCAATGCAGGAACAGAAAACCAAATACCACATGATATGTCCCCACCCAAATCTCATCTTGAACTGTAATCCCCATAATCCGCACATGTCAAGGGAGAGACCAGGTGGAGGTAATTGAATCATGGGGATGGTTTCCCCCATGCTGTTCTCCTGATAGTGAGTTCTCATGAGATCTGATAGTTTTATAAGAGGCTCTTCCCCTTTTGCTCGGCACTTCTCCTTCCTGGTGCCTTGTGAAGAAGGTACACCTTGCTTCCTCTTCGTTTTCCACCATGATTGTAAGTTTCCTGAGGCCTCCCCAGATGTGCTGAACTGTGAGTCAATTAAATCTCTTTTCTTTTTTTTTTTTAATATTACCCAGTCTCAGGCAGTTTTTATAGCAGTATGAAAATGGAATAATACACTGCATGTTCTCACTTATAAGTGGGAGCTAAATGATGAGAACTCATGAACACAAAGACAGAAATGATAGACACTGGGATCTACTTGAGGGTGGAAGGTGAGAGGAGGTAGAAGGGCAGAAGAGATAACTATTGAGTACTGGGCTTAATACCTGGGTGACGCTCCTTTAATCCCAGTACTTTGGGAGGCTGAGGTGGGCAATCACCTGAGGTCGGGAATTTGAGACCAGCCTGACCAACATGGAGAAACCCTGTTTCTACTGAAAACACACACACACACACACACACACAGAATAATCTGGGCATGGTGGCACATGCCAGTAATCACAGCTAGTCAGGAGGTTGAGGCAGAAGAATTGCTTGAACACAGGAGGTGAAGGTTGCAGTGAGCCAAGATTGCGCCATTGCACTCCAGCCTGGTAGCAGAGTGAAACTCCATCTCAAAATAAAAATAAATAAATAAATAAATAAATAAATACCTGGGTCACGAAATAATCTGAACAACAAGCCCTCATGACACATGTTTACCTATGGAACAAACCTTTACATGTAACCCCAAATGTAAAAGTTAAAAATAAATCAACAAATAATTTTTTTAAAAAAGAATCAGTGAGTTTGGGTACCAATATTTCAAGCATCTGGGACAGAGGTGGGGTTGTTTGATAATCAAAATTTGTGTTTAATGAACAGTTTTGTTGATATTTCAACTGTCTCTGTGTGTTTATATGGAGGAGTCCCCTAAACCCATTTGCTTAATTACTTCTTTAGCTCTAGAAAATCTTAAAGAGAGGTCAACCCTGTCTTACCCTGGGCACATAGGCTATGCTTTAGAACAAAAGCCTACTGGATTTTTACATAGCATTCTTAGTTCAAGGAAAATTCTTGTAACACTGGGAAATGTCACATTCAAGTTTGTACAAATGATCATTTTTCTATTAAATGAACTTTGTAATCTGCTGCCTCTCTTCAACTTTACCAACATATGTAATTCTTTTAGTGCATCCAGTTACATGGAAAAGAAAAATTATGGGTAATTATCAATGAAATGGGTTTTTAAAATTTTGAATGTTTATGTATAAAGATAATTACTTTTTAAGTTAAAATGTCAAGCTTAAAATATGAAGACTATTATATAATAAAATCCATAGTAATTGTTCCCATTATTTAGTATAAGGAACATATCTTCTTCTTATACTAGAAGTAGGAAAATAAAATCAATTGTTTCTTTCATTCAATTCATTAGAAAATAATTGTGTATACAATGTTTGTAAACACAACCTAATTTAACTGGAATTTATCATTGACATTTTCTGGCATGATTTTCTTCTTTCATTATGTTAGTTAAAAAGCAGTAAAGAATACCCATGCTGGATATGATCCAAGATGGCCAAATAGGAACAGCTCTGGAGTGCAGTTCCCAAAGAGAACGCAGAGGGTGAGTGATTGCTGCATTTCCAAATGAATTTTTGCTGCCCACAGACCAGGAGATTCCTGGGTAGAAAAGCACCACAAGTCTCCAGCACAGCTGTTTCAGCCAGCACAGCAGATCTCCGCACAAGAACTCACACAAATCTGGGTGGCCATTTCAACTGGCACCCGGAATGCCTGGGAGACAGAGCTGCCCATTCAACTGAAAAAAAGGAGGCTGAAACAGGAGCCAGGTTATCTGGCTTGGTGGGTCCCACCCCCACAAAGACCAGCAATCTGAAATGCTCTGGATTGACAGTTTCTAAGCAAGCACAGCTGGAGCCAGGATGGTCCAGCTCTGTGGGGGGAAGGGCATCTGCCATTACCGAGGTAGTCCTCCACTATAGAGGCAGTCCACAATTACTAAGGCAATCTGCCATTACTGAGGCAGTCCACCATGACAGAGGCAGTCCGCCATTACTGAGGCAGACTGCCATTACCAAGGCAGTTCTAACTATACCTCTATAAACAAAACTGCAAGGAAGTTCACACAGCAGCTGGGCAGAGCCCACGGCAGCTCAGCAATACCTCTGCTGGTAGAGTGTTACCAGGCTACCTCCTCTCTGGGCAGGGCATCTCTGAAAAAAGGCAGCAGCACCTCAGGAACTTATAAATAAAGCCCCACCTTCCCAGGACAGAGCATCTGAGGAAAAAAGGCAGTTATGAATTTCACCGCAGCAGACTTAAACGTACCTGCCCCACAGCTCTGAAAGGAAAAACAGAGCTCACAGGCTGCTTAAGGAGACAGTCTGTCTCTTATAGGAGCTCAAGTGCTGAGCTCCTATAAGGGACAGATTGTCTCCTCAAGCAACTCCCTGACCCCCATGTGTCCAAAGAGAAACCTCATAAAGGAGAGTTCAGGCTGATATCTGGCAGGTATCCTTTCAGGATGAAGATAACAGAAGAAACTGGCAGCAACCCTTATTGTTCTGCAGCCACTGCAGGTGATCCCCAAGCAAGCAGGGTCTGGAGTGGACCTCCGGCAGTCATACAGCAGAGGGGCTTGACTGTTAGAAGGGCAACTAAAAAACAGAAAGAAATAACTTCATCATCTACAAAAAGGACATCCACTCAGAGACCTCATCTGAAAGCCAACAACTACAAATATGACAGGTGGATAAATCCACAAAGATGGGAAGATATCAGTGCAAAAATGATGAAAACACCGAAAATCAGAACACCTCTCCTCCTCCAAGGCATCATAACTCCTCACCAGCAAGGGAACAAGGCTGGATGAAGAATGAGTCTGATGGATTGACAGAAACAGGTGGGTAATAACAAACTTCTCTGAACTAAAAGAACATCTTCTAACCCAATGCAAATAAACTAAGAACCTTCAAAAAAGATTTGACAAAATGTTAATGAGAATAAACAGCTTAGAGAAGAATATAAATGACCTGATGGAGCTGAAAAACACAACACAAGAACTTGGCAAAGCATACACAAGTTTCAATAGCCGAATTGACCAAGCAGAAGAAAGGCTATCAGAGACTGAATATGAACTCAATGAAATAAAACGAGAAGGCAAGATTAGAGAAAAAAGTATAAAAAGAAATGAACAAAGCCTCCAAGAAATATGGGATTATGTAAAAAGACCTAATCTATGTTTGATAGGTGTACCTGAATGTGACAGTGAGAATGAATTCAAGCTGAAAAACACTCTTCAGGATATAATCCAGGAGAACTTCCCCAACCTAGCAAGGCAGGCCAACATTCACGTCAGGAAATACAGAGAATACCACAAAGATATTCCTCAAGAAGAGCAACCCTAAGGCAAGTAATTGTCAGATTCACTAAGGTTGAAATGAAGGAAAAAATGCTAAGCGCAGCCAGAAAAAAAGGCTGGGTTACTGACAAAGGGAAACCCATCAGACTCAAAGCAGATCTCTCAGCAGAAACCCTACAAGCCAGAAGAGAGTGGGGGCCAATATTCAACATCCTTAAAGAAAAGAAATTTCAACCCAGAATTTCGTATCCAGCCAAACTAGGTTTCACAAGCGAAGCCGAAATAAAATCCTTTATGAACAAGCAATTGCTCAGAGATTTCATCACCACCAGGCCTGCCTTACAAGAGCTCCTGAAAGAAGCACTAAACATACAAAGGACCAACCATTACCAGCCACTCCAAAAATACACCAAATGGTAAAGAGCATCGACACAGTGAAGAAACTATATCAACTAATGGGCAAAACAATGAACTAGCATCAAAATGGCAGGATCAAATTCACATATAATAATATTAATCGTAAATGTAAATGTGCTAACTGCCCCAATAAAGACACACACTGGCAAATTGGATAAAAAGTCAAAACCCATCAGTGTGCTGTATCCAGGAAACCCATCTCATATGCAAGAACACACATAGGCTCAAAATAAAGGGATGGAGGAAGATTTACCAAGAAAATGGATAGAAAAAAAAAAGCAGGAGTTGCAGTCCTACTCTCTGATAAAATAGACTTTAAACCAACAACGATCAAAAGAGACAAAGACGGGCATTACATAATGGTAAAAGGATCAATGCAACTAGAAGAACTAACAAATCTAAATATATACACACCCAATACAGGAGCACCCAGATACATAAAGCAAGTTCTTAATCAATTACAAAGAGACTTAGATGCCCACACAATAATAGTGGGAGACTGTAACCCTCCAGTGTCAATATTAGATGGATGGACAAGACAGAAAATGAACAAGGATATCCAAGACTTGAACTCCGATCTGGATCAAGCAAACCTAATAGACATTTACAGAACTCTCCAACCCAAATCCAGAGAATATACATTGTTCTCAGTGACACATCACACCTACCCTAAAACGGACCACATAATTGGAAGTAAATCACTCCTCAGCAAATGCAAAATAATGGAAATCATAACAAACAGTCTCTCAGACCACAGTGCAAACAAATTAGAACTCAGGATTAGGAAACTAACTCAGAACCATACAACTTCATGGAAAATGAACAACTGGCTCTTGAATGTCAACTGGATAAACAATGAAATGAAGGCAGAAATAAACATGTCCTTCAAAACCAGTGAGAACGAAGACACTTTGTACCAGAATCTCTGGGACACATTTAAAGTAGTGTCTAGAGGAAAATTTATAGCAATAAATGCCCAGATGAGAAGCAAGGAATGATCTAAAATAGACACCCTAACATGAAAATTGAAAGAGCCAGAGTAGCAAGATCAAAAAAAGCTCAAAAGCTAGCAGAAGACAAGAAATAACTAAGATCAGAGCAGAACTGAAGGAAATAGAGACACAAAAAAAACCCTTCAAAAAATTAATAAATCCAGGGGCTGGTTTTTTGAAAAGATCAATGAAATAGACCACTAGCCAGATTAATAAAAAAGAAAAGAGAGAAAAATCAAATAGATGCAATAAAAAGTGGTAAAGGGAATATCACCACAGATTCCACAGAAATAGAAACTACCATCAGAGATTACTACAAACAACCCCCTGCACACAAATCAGTAAACCTGGAAGAAATTGATAAATTCCTGGACACTTGCACCCTCCCAAGCTGAAACCAGGAAGAAGTTGAAATCCTGAATAGATTAATAACAAGGGCTGAAGTGGAGGCAGCAATTAATAGCCTACCAACCAAAAAAGCCAAGGTCCAGATGGTTTCACAGCCAAATTCTACCAGACATACAAAGAGCGGCTGGTACCACTCCTTCTGAAACTATTCCAAACAATCCAAAAAGAGGGAATCCTTCCCAAATCATTTTATGAGACCAACATCATCCTGATATCAAAACCCGGCAGAGACTCAACAAGAAAAGAAAACTTCAGGCCAATATCCATGATGAACATAGATGAAAAAACCTTCAATAAAATAATGGCAAACTGACTACAACAGTACATCAAAAAGCTTATCCATCATGATCAAGTAGGATTCATCCGGGGATGGAAGGCTGGTTCAAGATACGCAAGTCTATAAACATAATCTACCATATAAACAAAACCAAAGACAAAACCACATGATTATCTCAATAGATGCAGAGAAGGCCTTTGGCAAAATTCAACAGTGCTTTATGCTAAAAAACTCTCAATAAACTAGGTATCGACAGAACATATCTGAAAAAAATAAAAGCTATTTACGACAAACCAACAGCCAATATCATACTGAATTGGCAAAAACTAGAAGCATTTCCTTTGAAATATGGCATCTAGACAAGGATGCCCTCTCTCACCACTCCTATTCAATAAAATATGGAAGTTCTAGCCAGAGCAATCAAGAAAGAAAAAGAAATCAAGTGTATTCAATTACGAGAGGAGGAAGTCAAATTGTCTCTATTTGCAGATGACATGATTGCATATTTAGAGGACCCCATTGTCTCAGCCCAAAATCTCCTGAAACTGATAAGCAACTTCAGCAAAGTCTCAGGATACAAAATCAATGTACAGGAATCACAAGCATTACTATACACCAATAACAGACTTAAAGAGAGCCATATCAAGAACGAACTGCCATTCACAATTGCCACAAAGAGAATAAAATACCTAGGAATACAACTAACAAAGAATGTAAAGGACCTCTTCAAGGAGAACTACAAACCACTGCACAAGGAAATAAGAGAGGACACAAACAGATGGAAAAACATTCCATGCTCATGGTTACGAAGAATCAAAATTGTGAAAATGGCCATATTCCCAAAGTAATTTATAGATTCAATGCTATCCCCAACAAACTACCTATGACCCTCTTCACAGAACTGGAAAAAAAAAACTTAAATTTCATATGGAACCAAAGAGAGCCAGCATAGCCAAGTCAATTCTAAGCAAAAAGGATAAAGCTGGAGGCATCACACTCCCTGACTTTAAACTATACTACAAGGGTACAAAAATTAGAACAGCATGGTACTGGTACCAAAACAAACATATAGACCAATAGAACAGAACAGAGGCCTCAGAGGCAATGCCACACATCTACAGCCATCTGATCTTTCACAAACTTCACAAAAACAAGCAATGGTGAAAGAATTCCCTGTTTAATAAACGGTGTGGGAAAACCGGCTAGCCATGTGCAGAAAGCAGAAATTGGACCTCTTCCTGAAACCTTACACTAAAATTAACTCCAGATGGATTAAAGACTTAAACATAAGACCTAACGTCATAAAAACCCGAGAAGAAAACCTAGGCAAAACCATTCAGGACATAGGCATAGGCAAGGACTTCATGGCTAAAACACCAAAAGCATTGGCAACAAAAGCCAAAATAGACATATGGGATCTAATTAAACTCCAGAGTTTCTGCACAGCAAAAGAAACAATCATTAGAGTAAACCAGCAACCAACACAACGGGAAAAAAATTTTGCATTCTACCCATCTGACAAAGGGCTAATATCCAGAATCTANAAGAAAAAAACTAACAAGCCCATTCAAAAGTGGGCAAAGGATATGAACGGACACTTTTCAAAAGAAGACATATATGAGGCCAACAAACATATGAAAAAATGTTCATCCTCACTGGTCATCAGAGAAATGCAAATCAAAACTACATTGAGATACCATCTCACACCAGTTAGAATGGCAATCATTAAAAAATCTAGAGACAACAGATGCTGGAAAGGATGTGAAGAAATAGGAACACTTTTACACTGTTGGTGGGACTGTAAATTAGTTCAACCATTGTGGAAGACACTGTGGCAATTCCTCAATGACCTAGAAATAGAAATTCTGTTTGATCCAGCAATCCCATTACTAGATGTATATCCAAAGGATTATAAATCGTTCTATTATAAAGACACATGCACATGTATGTTCATTGTGGTACTGTTTACAATAGCAAAGACCTGGACCCAACCCAAATGCCCATCGATGATAGACTGGACAGGGAAAATGTGGCACATATACACCATGGAATATTATGCAGCCATAAAAAATGATGTGTTCATGTCCTTTGTAGGGACATGGATGAACCTGGAAACCATCATTATCAGCAAACTGACACAAGAACAGAAAATCAAACACCGCATGTTCTCACTCATAGTTAGGTATTGAACAATGAGAACACATGGACACAGGGAGGGGAGCATCACACACTGGGTCTGTTGGGGAGGACTAGGGGAGGGACAGTGGGGGGTAGGGAGTTGGGAGGGATAACATGGGGAGAAATGCCAGATATAGGTGATGAGGATGGAGGCAGCAAACCACAATGCCATGTATGTACCTATGCAACAATCCTGTATATTCATCACATGTATCCCAGAACCTAAAGTGCAATAAAATAAAATAAAAAATAAAAAAGAATACCCATGCTGAAACATTCCAAAAAATTTTCATAGTTTAAGTAAAAAATAATAAAACCATTTAGAATATATGATTGACAGCCATGTTGTTTGTTTTTCTTTCTTCAGTGCCACTTACATTTGGTTCCTTGATGACCTCTGAAGTAGTGTTCAGCATTCCCTGCCAGATCCGAGAAAGATCTCGTAGGTTAAACACATAATGGAATTTTGCAGGGGTGGGAAGCATTTTAATCTTGGTCATCTGCCATAGTCGGCGTGTCAGGGGCACCAATTTTGTCACAGAATCTCTCACTTCTTCTGAGAAACCCCTCTGAGTACAGCAGTAGCCTACCCCAATCACACCTGAAAAGGGGAAAATTACAGCATGTTGCTTAGTCATTCAGCAAAATTTAATGAAAATGAAAAGTACTTAGTATCAGGTTTGCACAAATGTCATTATATGTTTTAATAAATAATCATAATATAAAAGTATGTTAATGTTCTCTTGCTTTTTCAAATACAGTATCCCAAAAAATAGATACAGGTTTAAGTAAATCAGTATTCAGAACACTGAAAAGTTGATTAAGAAACACTGCTGAAAATTCTGGCTGCACCACTTCAATATTATTAAATGGGTAACAATGATAAATGTATGAAATTGCCTTATAAAAAGAGAAGAGAAATGTTTTTATAAGTCCTCCAAGATTTCTCCTTTCTGTTGTTGCCTTTCCATACATTATAAAATACTTTTATTTACTTTATATGTAAAATTTTCCAGGCAATAAGGAAAATTAAAGATGATAATGGTGATTCTTTCTGGTCCATTTTACTTTTCTCTAGTTTAGATAACTCCAATGTGTTTTGGTTTCCAGACCTTGCTCACTGCTGTGACTAAAGGGAGTTTACTGCCATACTTCACTAGCTTGGGACACCCAGATGACATATTCATTTGCCAGAAATTAACAAGGGCAATCCTAAAGAGCTTTTTCTCAATAGCTTCAGAAACTGTAAACTAAATATTTAACCTAAATATGTTCAACCCTTTACACTCTTTTCTGCACAAATAAGTCCTAAGTGCATTTTTATTACTTGATTAGGCATATATGGTTACTTATTTGGCTAGTGATTGTTAAGCTAAATTATCTACAAAACGCTACATATTTAATCAATCAATAACTTATTACAACCAGTAAATTACTCAGAAAAATCTCCACTCTGGGTACCATTATTTCTTTGGCCAAAGTCATTCGATGGATTGGTTAAAGTATCAGCTACATAAACTTTGATATGGAACATAGTAATCCAGACCTCAGAACTATGCACCCATGAGGAAACAATCTCATCTAGGGGGAAACAATTGCACTTCCACGTTCATGTAATGTTAAACCTCCTTGCTTACAAAGTTAGAAACAGTTAAAGAAAACCAAAGATGGAAAAGATCTACTGAAGCATCCAAATCAGCACACACCTAGAATCAATCCCTACAGGAAGTGAAATGTGTTGTTTGAGAATGATGGAGGCTGTAGACAAGAAGCTACCCAATGCTCTTCCTGGGTGGGTCTCTGGGTGAAGATTTTCCAAAAGGAACACAGGCAGGTGTTCCTCCTCACCCTCCCACTCCATGCCCTCTTAACGTTTACTTTACCAAAGATCTTGTCCATGGAAGCCTCAGAGGGCAGCGTGCAGTTAAATATAGAGAACTGCCTCTTGAGTCTCTGGGGAATGTCATTGCGTCCACCACCAGGATGGATCATGGCCGCCAAAAACTGTATGTCCACGATGCTGGTGAACTCCCCAGGTTTTTCCAGGTTATAGAATCCGTTTTGTTCCATCAATTGTCGCACTATCTCATTCGTAACCTAAGAAAGACAACTTTCCGAATTAAGACATCATTCCTTTCCAAGCCTGGAACCTAACTCTTGCAGTTTTTCCAAAGAATTAACTTTACTGTAATTCAGGAATTATATCTTGAAAAAGTAAAACAAAATTTTAAAACAATTTTAAACTCTTCAAAGAATAAATCAATACTGAATTAAAGAAATAAAATGCACAATAGAATGACTATACCTGATCTCCCCATTCATTGATTATTGGCATATTCACATCATCAATAAAAACAGTCATCTTTTTTCCTGCCGGAGGGCCATACGTTGTACCCATTCGTTTATCCACATAGCTCTCTATTGTCCTCTGTGAAGAAACAAAATCAACAGAGACATTTGTGAAAATATCCCCTAAAACATGGTCAAGTATTTTTTAAAAAAACAACAAAAATTGGTAACTTTTGGATCTGGATCCAAGATGGCCGTTTAGGAACAGCTCAGGATTGCAGCTCCCAGTGAAAGCGCAGAGGGTGAGTGGACGCCGCGTTTTTATTGCCCACAGACTAGGAAATTCCCGGGCAGAGGTGCTCCACTGTCGCCAGCGCGGCAGTTTCGACCAGCGTGGCTGTGCCGGCCGGCACCGCTGCTTTGCCCAGCGTCGCTGCTTTGTCAGCGCCCCGGAGCCGCGGT